AAAGAAATAATTCTTTTTTATTTTTATGCCTTGGAACAATTTATCAGAAAAAAAAAATGTGTTTGATAACATGTTCTATTTTTATTCCGAGAAAGAGAATTGTGTTTGATAACACAACAAATAATAGAATAAAAAAATAATTCCTATTAAATATAAAAAAATTTCATATCATCACTTTCCTTTTCATATGGTGTGGTTGTGGTGACAGCGAGTGGCATGGTGGTGGTGACAGTGACATGGCGAAGATAGTGGTGGTGGTTGCGACGGCAGTGGCTGCGACGATGGCGGTAGTAATGGTGGCGGCGACGGTAATGGTGAGGATGGAGATGACGGCAGTGGCTGCGACAATGGTGGTGGGTATAGTGGTTGATGGCGGCAACAATGGTAGTGGTGGTTGTGAAGGCATCATAGTGGTGGTGGTGGTGGCAGTGGCTGCGGCGATGGTGGTGGTGGTAGGTGACAATGGATGTGGTGATAGTGGCGGTGGTGGTAGTGGTGACGATGGCGTCGTGGTGGTAGTGGCGGGGGTGGTGTAATGGTGGTGACGGTAATGGCTGTGATGATGATGGTTGTGGTTGGTGGCGGCGGCGACGACGACGACGGTGGTGGTGACGATAGTGGCTGCGACAATGGTAGTGGTGGTTGGTGACAATGTTGGTGAAAGTAGTGGTGGTGGTAGTGGTGGCGATGAGGGTGGTGGCAATGGCGTGTGATGGCAATGATGGCGGTGATGACAGTGATTGCGGTGGTGGTTGATGGCGGTGGTTACGGTGATAGTGGCAGCGGTGGTAGTTGTGGTGGTGGTGACGTTGGCATGGTGATAGTGATGAGTGGAGGTGGTGGTAATGGTGGCGGTGACATCATGGTGGTGAGGGGTGGTGACGACAGCACTAGTGGTAGGGGTGTTCATCAACCGATCCAAACCGCGAAAACCGAACCGAAAAACCAATAACCGAATAAATCGAAAACCGAAAAAAATCACAAATTTTAATTGGATTGGATCGGTTTTCAGATGAGTTGATGAAAACCGATCCAATCCAAACCGATCCAATATATTAATTATCCTCTACCTACTTGTCCTTTCTCCAATCATATTCCAAAAATTTCTAAACTCAAGACCCATTAACTCATCAACTAAACCCAAGAAAAAACTTAGTCACGTCTCATCAACTATAGACTATAGTATTGTTTACTGATATTTTTGTATTTCAAAAAAATATATTTACAAAGCCAATATATACAAAAGATGTTATTTGCACAATAATCATGAAACTAATTTTAGGATATTCAAAAAACCGAAAACCGATCCAATCCAAACCGAAAAAAATTGGATTGGATCGGATCGGATTTGAAAAAAAATCTAAACCGAATGGATGATTACATGATTAAACCAAAGGGATTTGATCGGATGAGTTTTGCTTCCAAAACCGATCCAATCCAGACCGCGAACACCCCTATCTAGTGGTACGTTGACGGCAGCGACAATGGTGGCAGCAATTGTGTTGGGATGATGGTGGTGGTGGTGATGATGGTAGAGGTGGAAAATGATTGAGAGAGATAAGTGTTTCTCATTTTGTGCCCGAGAACAAAAAACAGAATTTTTTTGATTCTTGTTTCTGTTCCCCAGCACAAAAATTAAACCGGTTCTTTCCGGGAACAAAAAATAAGCCGATTTTACTAAACGAGTTTCTTATCCATTTCTATTCTTGGGAACAAAAATTAAAAAGAATAAATTTCGAGAAGGTTGTCATGCACACCCTTAGTGGTTACAATAGTTATTTATGAGCTCAAATTTAAATTATTAAATAAAAAAATTACAAAGTAACCCAAGACTAAGAGCCACAGTAGTTCTAGGCATCTGTTAGCATGACTCCAGTGGCTTTATTTGTGCGTCAAAAATATTTCAATATAGTACTGAAGACACAGTATATTATTGCTAAAATTAGAAAAAAAATAATACACCTAAATTTACTTATTTTCCCCTTTGAGAGAGTTAACTCTATCGTGATGTGTGTGTTCTTGACCCGAACAGAATTAACTCCTATAGATAATACCTATGGTTTATCCAATAAAATAAAACATGAATCCTATTTTTTCTTCTTCTATTTTTACTAAAAAATACCTATTCTGGTGACGCTAAAAATATGCTCCCGTGTATCAAGAACATGAGTCATCGTGCAAAATCGGAAGTATCCTCAACATTAACGTCGCAAAGAACATGACAATGTAAAGATTTGGTTTCGGGTAAACAAAAAATAAAAATAAAAATGAAACAAGATTGGTGGTTAGTAGTCCTTTTGGACAATTAAATTCAAAACGTGATTAATTATGTTGAATAACGATATCTGTTTTGTGTCCCTTAAAAAAGGAGAACTGCGTGGATGATAAGCTCTTCTTAAAGTGCTTTTCATTATTATTATTCGTGTTATTTTTGAGGTCGTTTTCGGATTGTGGGTGTTTAGTTGTGAATGTTCAGTAATGCGTGTGAAATGAGTGTGATTATGTGGATAACAATGGTGGACAGCTGAAAAGTCTTTCACTCTTTCGACTTTTGGATAATCTTTAATTTTCTTTTAAATCTTCTTTACTTCTAGAGCATGGTCGGCAATCACCACAATTAGCTATTATTATTACTTGTTTAATGTTTAGATTTGATTTTAAAATCAAAATATTTTTTAAAATGACAATACTTATGCATCCTCATTCCTGACCCTTATAATGTCATTGTTAACTTTTGCTTCGAATTTCTGAGTGGTACCCTCAAAACTCGAATTGGATTTTGATTGAGCTTTAAATTCTCTCTGGTCATTTAGCTTTGGCATCATAAGTCAAAGTCTACAGCATGTTACATCATATATCAACTAGAGACACTATGAGAACTCACATAAAGTAAGCATGCATCCATCGTCATCATCCATATTTGCAAGGAAAATATAGGGTAGAGAAAATTATCCGCCATCCTTTCTAAAATAAAAAGAATTTTTTTTCCTATCATTTTGGAATTAATTTGTAGACAAAATACAAAAAGTTATCCACACAATACTTTTAGTACAATAAACCATAATTATATATCATATATCAATATTTATTTATATTTATAATGTATATGTTGATTCCATGTAGCATATGTCAAACAAGGATTGATACCAGGAATGGGGATGGGTCTTTGGGCCAGAATAATAACACCAGTTGGAATCAGATTCAGATTCTGTTTTTAGAAGAATAGAATTGTTTTTTTATGGACAACTTACTTTGCAATTACATTTGATTGAGAAATGTGCTAAGTACCAAACACTTATTAAAGAATAAAGTTTTCATTCAGTGAAATTCCCGGCCAAAATGTGATCGCAAAAAATTTGGTACATATGCCCCCTCCTTTTTTTTTTTAATAGAAGAAATTCTGCATCTACTTGCAAAGAATTTGGTTTGGGTTTCAATTTGGCCACTTGAATTTAGTCTTATATTGTAGAAGAATAGTTCTCTTTTATCATAGACACAATCATAAATAGAGTTTACTCACTTATAAAAACAATAAACAAATTAAATTATATAAAAATCGATGAGTATATAAAAAAGAGAGCTATTCTCCAAAAGTTTTTCCAATTTCTAAAAGAGTTTTATAAGAGTTATGTTATAAGAAAAGTGATTGTGTTCCGTGTTTTAATTTTTTTTTTGCTTTACAAAATGCAAATCCTACAAAATTTTATGTGTGTAATTTTTTTTTTTTTTGTCATGTTACATGATGAATGCAAACATCTTTCTAAAACTATAGTTTTTATGTACCAAAAAAAAAAAACAAAAAAAAAACTATAGTTTCTAGAAGTTCGAGGGGACTGTGGTGTAGTCTTCTCCTGTGCTTAGTGAACAGTTGGTAATAAATAATGATTGATAATTTGATGTTAACGGGGTTTTGAGTAATTGTGCCAAGTGTTCTTCTCTCCTACAATTGTGTGTTACAATGTGCTTTATAGCAAAAAAACAGGAACAAAACGCTCCTATTACTATCATTTCTATGTCAAGGACATAAAATTTAGGCTAAGCCTATAAGATAAAGGTCTTGAACCAATAATTTGCTTTTCTGGCTTCAAAGTCTCGGTTATCATAATCAGTGGTTAGTGAAGACAAGGTTGGTTCTTCAGATGAATTACTAGGAAACCACGATTTCACTCAAAGCCCATTTCCTCGTGATTTCAAGTTCATGATTGGGCCTACTCACTGGGGCCTAAAAGCAAGATGAACTTATTTGGGCTGAAAATCAAAAGAATCATTTGGACTTAACAGCCCATATTAACGTCAAACTACTTAGTTGATTAAATGATTTTAAATTCTCTTTTGCTCAAAACCCACCATCAAAACATCATATTTTACACAAAATCAGAAAATCTAAAATTTTCTCTCTTTTAAAAACCCTTATTTTACTTTTTAGATTTTGAAATGTTCAAATAATTTATTATTCTAAATCTGTCTTAAATCTCAATTATTTGAGTTGAAAATGAGGATTTGGAAAGTATTTAGGTAGAAGAAAACTGATGGAAAAAATTAAGAGTTGAATTTGAATAAAAAAGGTGTATTAGCAATAATAAAGGACCGAAATTGTTTCAAAAAAAAAGGGGACCGAAATTAAAATAAAGCCAAAAGAAGATAAAACTTTTATTTTATATTTTATTAATGGGAGTTGGGAAATGATTATCTTATTTTATAGGAAAAAATACTCTTGTACTTTTTACCTTTCGATTTTAGTATCACATTTTTTTTTTAATAGGTGTGGATCCTATCACAAGTTTAATTTACAACATGAAATATCTCATCTTCCACAAAATGAAAAAAATGAAAACCCTTTATTAATAGTTACAAAAATATTATATTCTCCTAATTTTATTTTTTATTTCACTAAAATTAGTGCATAATGCAAACAAATTAGCGTTTTCAAATATTTTCAAGTACAAAACACATCTGAAAAAAAAAGAGTAGGATGTACTTTTTCTTTATTATAACAAGTAGGATGTATTTTCCTTTCTTTCAATTATTTACTGGTACCAAACAAGTACCGGAGAAAATTTTCCTCTTTGGTTTTCTGAATTTCTGATGGTTGACTCTAATTTTCGGAGGTGAAGGTGCTAAATCTAACGTTGGTCGAAATGTGGAGCCGAGGTTTCAGTGTTTTGATCAAGGGTTGCCTTTTGTTGGTGTTAATATCTGTAATTTCTGGTCTGGAACCCGAACTTGGATCGACCCGCGTTGTCTTTCAGGTTTTCTATATTAAATTGTATTAATTTTTTTTTTCACTTTCATTTATAATAATTGCTCGAATTTGCAGTAAAAGTTCAAAACTTGAGCTGAGTATCATCCATGCTGAGTGCTGAAAATATCTCACTATCTGTGCTCTATCAAGTCCTTGAGTGATTGAAAAGCTCAAAATGTGGATACCCATGTTGTTAATTGGGAAGATCTCAGTTAGTTATGTTCTGGGTATCGGTGAAAATTTGCATTAAGTAGCCCTCTCAGTTAAAAATCCCATCTTGCTTGGGAAGTTTGCTTGGGACAATTTGTTTCTCAAATTTATGCCAATATGTTGATGTTGTTGTTGTTTGTTGCCCATGGTGTATCACTTAGGTTCTTGTGTTTTTGAATGCAGACAAATTATGGGGATATTGAATTTGGTTTCTTTCCAAGTGTTGCACCCAAAACTGTTGACCACATTTTTAAGCTTGTGCGACTTGGAGGCTATAACACTAATCATTTCTTTCGGGTATTGTTCTCTGCAAACAAAGCAAGTCAGCATTGGGTATTTATAAAGTTGGTGGGTATAGTATTGCTTTGTAAGTGAATGGTTTTGAGTTCAATGCCAGGTGGATAAGGGATTTGTAGCCCAAGTAGCAGATGTTATAAATGGAAGATCTGCTCCCATGAATGAAGAACAGAAAAGAGAAGCTGAAAAGACTGTTGTTGGTGAATTTAGTGAAGTCAAACATGTTCGGGGTATTCTTTCTATGGGAAGGTTAGGTCTCTCTAGATGGTAACTGTTGGCTGTAGCCTGCTTATTTCTTCTGAAGTTCTTGATTTCAAGTCTTTCTTGTTGCTCTTGTTTCTATCATTAAGTATCATTTATATATGGTTTTAAAACTTACTAGTTCCAGTCTGCGCTAGATTTAGATTGAGTTCAAGTGTTTGTTTCTATGCTTAACATTAAAATGAACAGATTTGAACTGAGCTTACAGTTACTGGTGATTACAACTTCTCCTAGGTTCATGATCAATGTAGTTTTACAGCAACTAGTTGCTTAATTTTGAATATAGTGTTCTTGCTTTGTGTTACACTATCCCCTTGGAAGTGCACTGGCTGAGGTTTAATGATTATCTTATTGATTTCATGCTGACTGAGTGTCATAGTACTCATGTTCAGAAAATAAAGGTGCTCACAGAATCTTGGTCACTGTAACCAAGATGGAAACCGAAATGAATGGAAAATGAGCTCACATGGGGCTGATGAAAAGTTAAGATGCTGTGAATTTTTTTCTGGCATTTTTTTTGGGGTAAAACTATTATTAGGAAAGAGAATGAGCACAAAGGAAGGTATATTAAGATAGCTTCTATTAGGAGAGAGAATGAGTACAAAGTAAGGGAGATTAAGATATCTTCCCCGGAGAAAGCTACAAGCATAGGCACAGTAAATACCAGCTAAGACATGAAAAAAACTTACATAAGAGAGTTATCCACTACCTCTGCATGTCGACCAAAAACAATCCCTGAAAGAAGCCATGTGATGAATTCACAAACAGGCTCTGAAAACAATCTTGTCACAATTAAGATTCAGTGATAATCATTTTCCGTTTAAATATTATAAAGAGAAAGAATGAGGACAGAGGAAGGGATATTAAGATATCTTCCCTGGAGAAAGCTATAAGCATAGGCACCATAAATACAAGCTAAGACATCAAAATAACTTACATAAGAGAGTTCTCCAGTACCTTTGCATATTGACCATAAAGTATCCATGAAAGAAGCCATGCAATGAATCCACAAACAATCTTGTCACAGCTCACAAATAAGATTCAGTGATATGCATTTTCTGTTTAAAGTCTCAGCATTTGATTCTAGGCATAGACACCTGGGAACAGTCCACTTCCAGAACTTTTTGCCCTCCTTGCTTTTCCCAAAGCCTTTTAACCTAATTAAGAGTAAAAGCTCCAAGTTTTGAGGGCATGCTTAAACTTGTAGGACTAAATATTTGACTGCTAGACAATTTAGGAATAACAGTGTAACTTTTTCTGAACTAAAGCAGCACATCACACACTTATCTAGAGACAAAGCCTTGTTAGGTCTACTAAACCATTAGTATTATTCTTATTATCTAAATGATTCGCTTGACTCTAGAGGAGTGGGGACCATGGTTGTTAAAATCCCGATTTAAATCCGCGCTCTTACGATTTTTTTTAATCAAAACGATTTCATCAAAATTCCAAATGTTTTTACGATTTTTTATCCTCTTTCTGATTTTAGGTAAAATTCCGATTTTAACTACCATGGTGGGGACTTTAGGTTTCTAAAGGGGTTGTCCGGCATTCATTAGTCAGATACTATTTAGTGTTTCCAAAGGAAAAGACTAAAATTCCTTAGGTTGAAAGTGGCTAAGATGATAATGAAAGATGACTCTACAGAATACAGGTATCTGGAATCTTTGCACTTTTGATGCATTTAAGTAAAAAAAATTCAAAATACTTGTATGGAATTTTACGACTGATATAAGTTTGTTAAAGATGCTATCAGCAGTGGGAAGAGTATATTTATTTAGAGTCTTGTTGTAGAATTTATGCCTTGGAGCAGCGGTAAGGTTGCACTTGTGACCAAAGACCATGGGTTCGAGTCTGGGAAAGAGTTTCTTTGTAGAAATGTAAGGGTAGGGCTGCCTACAATTGACTTTCACCTTTACTCTTGTAAGTCGGGGAGCCTTATGCATCGGGATTTGCCCTTGTTGTAGAATTTATAAACTAAAATATTTTTAGTCAATAATCAGCTAGGTAACTCAGTTTTCATTATTATATTGCTCATGATCTAAATTTCTGAAACCATTCTTACTTTTGGCTTGAGTGACTGTTGGAAAACCTGATGTACGCAAGTTTGTTCTTACAGGTATGATGATCCAGACAGCGGTTCATCCTCATTTTCAATACTACTTGGAAATGCTCCTCATCTAGATGGCAAGGTGGGGTAACTAGAACTTCCAAATATCATTGCAGAATATTTACTCAAATGTCTTGCAATTTTTACAATTGATATGCTGATGTAAGCCCTTTTCAGTATGCAATATTTGGAAGAGTTACTAAAGGTGATGAAACGTTGACAAAGCTAGAGCAACTACCCACCCGTAGAGAGGGTATATTTGTAATGGTATACCTTAAAAATCTTATCCATCTTGTGCACTGTTCTTTTTCCCTTCATTTAATGTTCAATCATGGATCATATGCATAATTGTATATTCTTTTGAAGTTTATAGATTTTTCCTTTTTGACTATTGTTTTATTCTTTTACTTTGAGGAGAAGTCAGGGTCAAAGCTAGGGAGACTTGTGGGAGAAGATAAACTTGATGCATAGATATGTATGTGTGTGTCTGGGAATTTTTTTTCTATATAGTAATATTTAGATTAAAAGGGGGCGAACCGGAGCAGTGGTAAAACTGTTCTTTCATAACTAAAAGGTTATGGGTTCAAATCTAGGAAACAACCTCTTTGCAATTATGCAAGGGTAAGGCTGCGTATAAGGATTTCCTCCACCCCACACTCCCTAGTCGGGTTTAATGGGGAGTGGTTTTTTATAGTAATATTTAGATTAAAATTATTCACCTGCAAGCTTTGATTGCTGAGCTTGAGGGTGGTTTTGTACAATGGAAAATTTTAGAAAATCATGTTGAAATGACAAAATTGTTTTTATGTTTCTGAGCGTGAAGTGAGTAGCTTAAATAGTATCGGTTTATGTGAATATTGAAGTGAGCATCAAAATGTTTTGTAACTTAATGGTTTCTTGACTTCTAGTAATTTCCACAATGAATTGTTTTTAAACTTTTATGAGCACTTTGTTTTTTCATTTATCACCTTCATCCCCTTCCTCTAAATTTCTGACTCACCCCTCAGAGAAGCCATAATTATCCTTGGTTTATGCTGTCATGCAAACATGTAATTTGTTTAGGACTGGGGTTCCTACATCCTTTCCATTCTTGACTTTACCTCAAAATTTCAAGTATCTCGTGTAATTATGAACACTTAAGTTCTACTCTGGAACTCACATTTTGAAGAGGACGGGAAGGGGCATCCCACCTAGGTCTCTGTAGTTGCTATCTTTTTAAGTTTTTGGTGCTCAGTTTAAAACTACTGAACATGATAACTTCTTCCTGCCATCATATTACTATGATAAGAATTTTTGGTTTTCATTTTTCAGCACTTAGATATTATTGTTTCTCCTTTTTCAGCCAACTGAACGCATCACTATCCTGTCATCATATTACTATGGTAAGAATCTTTCAACCTCAAGTCTTTTTTTTTTTTTTTTAATAATTTTTTAAGTTAGTTTTCTTTGTTGTCTTTAGGTTAAAACAAACATTTAGTCCCTTTAGTTTCACCCTACATGGATTTTTGTTCCTATATTTTAGATTTTGGATATCGGTCCCTATATTCACTCATTTGGATTTTGGTCGCTCAGCAACCAATATCTTAATAATTTGAACATATCAGAATTAGGGACCAATACCCCAATAAACATTAACTATACGGACTAAAACCCAAATAGGTGAAACATATAGGGACTGATACCTTAATGGTAGGGGGACCAAAATCCAACCAATTGAAACTAAAGGGACCCATATCCAAAAAAAATAAGGAATTATAGGGACCAAAATATAAAATTGAGTGAAACTACAGGGACTGATTGTTTTGTTTAATAAAATAAAATTAAAAAAAGGAAAATAAATGAATTAAAAGTGTCACCACATTGAGAAGCCTTGGATGCTTGTAGCATCTGGCTCTTATGCAATAAAAGTCACATGTACAACATAATTGACACTTGAGTTCATTGAATCTTTGTGATATGTTATTCAGGATTACTGTAAGGACTCAACTTGTAGATTTTAGATGGGAGGAAGTGCAATTCCAAGTTTCATGATGTCTAGTCTCTCTTTGTCCTATCTAGTTTGTTTGTCTCTTGGCTTTTCTGTCCAAACTTTTAACACTTGTGTGTTGGATTCTCTTTCCCTCTCTGAATCTTACTCCTTGGATTTGCTGTTAGACACAGAGACAGAAAATTGTGAACAAGACAGATCAATCTTGAAGCGCAGGCTATCTGCATCAGCTGTTGAAGTTGAAAGACAGGTAAATAAATGGTATCAGATTCAAGACATGTAATAAGTTCATATCATAATGCTTGTTTAACTGGTTAACATAACTTTCATGTGTCACTTGGCAGAGGATGAAATGCTTCCCCTGATGAGAGCAAGTTGAATATGAAGTTGGAATGAATGTTACACTGTTGTATTCGCTTTTTTTATTATATCTAATCAGAGATATTGGTTTTTGTTAAGTGTGAGAAATTATTCTAAACATGCACAAATATAAATTCAAATACAGTCCAATTTTAAGCTGTTGAAATGAAAGAATGAGAAATAAGATTTAAGTTCTGTCACGAGCGTTATTCTCTTTTTGATAATTTTATCTTTAAAAGTGATTTTATTATTCTATTGAAACAATATTTTTTTTCTTAAAATTAACTTTTAAAATATTATTTACAAATGCAAATTAATTCTTTTATATTATTATTGTTTTTTTAAAATCAATTCAAACATAGTCTCAGCCAGATGAACCCTTGGTTCATTTGCAAAGCTACAAATTTCTCATTGATCATATTTTGATCCACATACCAAAGCCTCTATTGGTACATATCATTTTGTTTTATTTATATTTATTAGGATTTGTATTGCCCTATTAACATATTTGAGGAGTAGATTCATTTATAATTCATTTGTTACTTGTATGGTTTTTGTTTCATTTGATCATTTACTTCATAAAACCAATAGTATATTATGTTTTCTTTAACTATGTCTCCACCAAATAAAATGAGAGAGTAGTATGTATTGTAATATAATTGAGTATTTTAATAGAGGATAATTTGGTTAAAATATAAATATATTTTCTTATAATTGAGGTTATTTAATAACTTTTTCAATCTTTAATTTTATATGGTTAACTTATATATTTGAGACAAATAGAGTATAACTTAAATTTTCTAATTTTAAGTTTCTTTCTTCTTTTTTTTTTGTTTTTGGGTGATAAATATAAGATACTTAATATATCTCATTGCGCTATAAAACTTAAATTAGACATACCAAACATGGATTATATTTTGATAAATTGTTTAGATAAATATATTTTTATATTATCATTTAATTATGTGTTATCATATCATTTATATATTACAAAAAGAAATTTGCTAACAAGTGTCTTAAAAGCATTTTTTAAGGAATCAAGATAGAAACAATTAAGTGAAATGTAAAAGTATTTCATATCTTACAAACTTAAGAAACATTTAATACCTTTAATTTCCTTTATTAGGATAATTTAATAAAGGATGTTAAACAGTATCGTTTGGGTACTAGTTTAGCAAAACGAAATAATTCAAGTAGGAATGGTCATCGTCAAACTTTTTCAATGATAAGTTAATATATGATTGAATGATCATGTAAAATAATTGTTACATTGACTATGAAACAAAATTAAACTCAATAGATATGAACATCTTATATTTACGTCAAGCAATGTTTTTTTTGCATAACTTTTGCTTTCATAACCTTCTTATAGAATGTTTGGATTTATTGAAGTTATAGGAATTTGTTTTTAAAACTCCCTCAAAAAGGTTTTAATTATAATTTATTTCAAATATAAAATAAGCTACTGTAAACATGTAAATTATCTCAACTTATGTTAAAGAATAGTATAAACAACTAAAAAAGTCATATCCAACAACTTAAACTTTTGAGTTGAATTGATTTTTTATAACTTAAACTTCCATTTTTGTTACTTAATAAAAAAACTGTTTATATACACTTGTGCAGAATAGTTAAAGCGAATGAAAGCATTTTACCAAAAAAAAAAAAAAAAAGAGCGAATAAAAGCAACAACATTTTATCTTATGTACGTACACATTTAAAAATTCATAACTTTTTACCAAAAAAATAAAAAAAAATCAGAACTTTGCATAACATGCAATTTTAAGATGAAAGCATACTTATATATATATATATATATATATATATATGTATGTATGTATGTATATATATATATATATATATAAATAATGATGGTACTAAAATTTAAATCAATAACCTCGTATAAATACTTGAATTCCTCATCATTAATCTACTCGTAATCGCCTTCAGCATACTAATCATATTTCATAACCAAAAGACAACGAGTTCTGGCCTTGTGAATAAAATAAAACGGGCACGTATATTATGGCACAAACGAACGCAGTTAAGCCTCATAGCATAGGTATTGGGGAGCATGAATGAATGACATATATGGGGCCGTTTGGTACGCGGCATTTGGCCGATTCCCGGGAAACTGAATTTTTTTAAATTTTAAATTTTCGAATATTATCGTAAACTGAATGTAAAAATCATATTTTTGAAAATTGAGATTCCTGGACAAATAAAAATTTCTCCTGTACCAAACGTTGTTTCAACTATTTACAGATTCCCTTCGTTTTACGTGTATGTTTAATTGTTTAAAAGGGATACTTGAGAAAGGACTTCGCATGCTCTAATATCTAGTTTGGCACGTGGCCAAAAATGTTATGGGCGAAGAAATTTCACACTTAACACATGAAAGTACTCGTAAAGGAAAATGACATGCAAAACATGAGCAAAGGACTCAAAAAGCATATGATGGTAACCTCTTTAGTCCCTTTTTTCTTAAGTTTTTTCACCCACCCAGATTTGAACAGTATCTATAACGTGTCTTGTGATTTGTGAATTTCATTTCTGTGGTTCTTCTTTTAGATATTTAAAAACAGAACATGTGCTGTTTATCTTTAGGGTGTGTTTGGTACAAGTATTTCAAAAAGATTACTGGTAAATCTTCTTTGGTAAACTCAATTATCATGTTTGGTAGAAGGAACAAAAATCAGTTCCCGGATATGCAATGATTACCGGTAATTTGATTTATAAAGAAAAATCACTATTCAGATTACCAAAAATAATATGTTAATTCAGAATACCAAGTAAAGGGAAAGCACAACAATAATTTTTGAGACAAAAATACCTCAACACACATAAAAACCTAGACCTAATCTATCAATTACAAAAGTAAAAATAGTTTGGGGTTATTTTTGTAAAATAACCTTATATTCCAAGTCATATTTCGTTCTAAACCAAACATGGAATCAGTAATCCTTATCCAATATTCCCGGTAATATTTTGGCGAACCAAACACATTTTTCGTAAGATTCCAAGTAAACTCAATTTCTATTGTATTCCCATTAATCGTGATTCCCGGATATCAAAAAATTTCTCTTGTACCAAACACACCCTTAACGAAACCAAACAGTTTTTGTTACATAGAAATAAAAGATACAAAATAATTAGTTAAGTCTCGCCCAACAGTTTTGGGTTAAAATAGTTCTTATTATAGTATCAGAGCTGAAATGACATGAGGTCTTGAGTTCGATCTTAACTGACTCTCACTTTTAAGTGAAATTATAAAAAACACAAGATAGATAGAAGATGAGCTTGTGCAGACAGTGCAGTACAAGACAGAAGAAAAATTGGCTTATGTCATATTCATGCTTCAAGCTTAAAAAACTCTTGCGTACGAGAATGTGTTAGATAAATATAAAAGATACAAAATAATTAATTAAGTCTCACCCAATATCTTAAGATTTTGAGTTGAAATTATTGTTATAAGTTTTCCACCTCTACCTTTTCTTCTTCTTCTTCTTTTGCCGCTTTATGCTAGTTTTCCTGAACGTAAATCGAAAGGAATATAGAATTTATAATATATATATATATATATATATATATATATATATATATATATATTTGTCTATTTTCTCAGGAGTGAATATTATTTATTTAAAGGGCTATTTTTTTAGTGGTTACTGCAACTAATTTTTTACAACAGACAAAAAAAAGGTAGAATCCACTAATTAAAAAAAAAGAAGCCAGGATCTATCGACATATTCTGTCTTTTCTATGTGTTGTTGCAAAAGTTTATTTTTACGGTAACAACAAAGCTATATTTCCCTCATTTAAATAAATTAACCGTCAAACTTTAGAATTATGGCTTTCTTTCTAGTTTTTATCTGAAAAGTATGAGTTCATTTGGCATTTTATTTGCCAAACGGAACTTGAAGATTTGTTTGGTTAGATTTTATGATTTCTTCTTTTAAGGTATATGTTAGGGTTATGAGATTTTTCTAAAGGGGAGGAAAATGAGCAATTCAGTGTTACACGAAAAATTGACCGGGTTGTTATCAAAAAAAAAAAAAAAAAAAATTGACCGGGTGGCCGGTTCGACGGACTGAATAGGAAGTTAAATCCCTAATCCATTCGGTTCAGTTAACGCATTATGTCTGCATGTGAACCGATCTGAAACCAGTGAAATGTCTCTAAATCGGTTTCCTAGTCAATCTTAATTTTTGGAATTTTGTGTAAAATGTTTGAAAACTTCCACTCTTGAGATTAAACCTAGGACACAGTGATGGTTACATACAACGATTACCAATAAACAAATTTTGTTTTCTTGTCACAATGCTTTCTTCATTTTATTTATTATATATAATTATATAAATTCAATTCAACTAATTTAAGAAGACCCACTCGTTGAAAGAGTAATTTATTGATCCAATATCATCGATACAAGCTTAATAATATTGGAAAAATCTTTACTCTTTTTTTTGGATAAATTATTTTGTCTATCCTTATTTTGTCTATCTTTGCCTACACTTTTCAATACCGTTAGATTTTAATTTCATCCAACGACAAAGATTTGTGAGATAAAATAAACCCTTTTATCCATTTCTTTCTCTTCATTGTCTCCCACCCTTTCTCTCTTCTCCCATGAAAGACGTCACATAAGAAAAACTTTGGGTGTTGTAAAGCGCAGAACTTTTGGTATCGTATAGTGTAGAAGAAGGAAAAACATTTTTTATCCACAATTGAAGACAGAAAACATCAAACATATTGGAAAAAAAAGTTGGGTATCGTACCCACAACAAGCTCACGGCTTCGCACTTTTGAAAATTGTAGATTTGAAACAAATCTAGTAGGGATAGGCAACCTTTTTCACTTTTTTTAATCTTATATTAAAATTCACCGAAAATGAAACAGATTGGAGGCAACGTGTTTGACAAAGTTCTTTCCTAAACTTCAAACTTATCTCAAGCGCAATTAAAGAGAGAGAAAACTAAGAATTTGATATTCGAATCACTGTCATACTATTGTCATCTTGGCATCAACCACGTTCAACAAAACTATTATACGCAGAGTCATAACAAATATTAGAGTGAATAAAAAACTAATTTAAACTCGGAAAGGATTTCGATCCTATGTGCTTCTCTGTCTCTGTCGTCAGTAGAGAGAAAAAAGAGGAAAGAAAAAGGGTGGGAAGAAAAAAAATAGATAA